CACATTGTCCACTTGATGTGCTCATGTATGCTCCAGAAGAGACAACACACCAATACCAATATTCCTCCAGTGAGGCCAGCAGCTGTTCCCCCAGCTCCCAGTGACTGTGGGTGCACTATCTTGCCTCCCCCCAAATTCTGGTATGTTCACTCTATCCCAAGCCTCTACCCTGGAAGCCTAAACCTGGCCTCTTCTCTATTTGCTTTAGAGCTTTGCATAGCAGCCACTCAGGGCCTGTACCCTCCCATACCCTCCGGGAACTCCCCGAGATTACTTTGCTCTCTAGATTTTCCAGGTGGACAGGAAACATTGCCCACTGTCCAAAACTTAGAGGCATGGGGGATCTTAGCAGCAAGTCTGCCCATAACCTGTGTACCAAGCAGCAGGGCCAGCAAACACCCCTCCAGAAAGAGCGCCCTTTCCTGGACAGGTGCCCCCACTCTGTACCCCGGTCCCCTCCAGAAGGGAGTTCTCTTCCCAGCCTCAGGCCATCCTCCAGGGCTCACTGTCATTTCAGGGAAGCTTTGCCACCAACCGGGCAAACTTTGACATTGCCCGGCAGAACCAGGTCCCTTCCCAGTCTGTTCCAGAGCAGAAACTTGGCTGCCTCTTTGCATAAACAAAAAGCACATCACAAAGCATTTCCCCCAAAATGCCAGCTCCTGGCTTCCAGCGCACAAGAGAAGGGCTGGAGCTTTGAGCCTTTTCCCCACAGGGCTTAGAGGCCCCAAGATCAATTTCTTAAAGACAGGGCTCAAGGACACTGTCCCAGGGTTTCCCCCCTCCCCCCTGAAGTCTGGGCAAAGATGTGCTGCTTCCCCTAGCACATAGGCCCTGGGGAAGGAGGGGAAGGAAGAGCTGGCTGTAGGAGGGGAGGCTAGGCAGCCTGCTGTTCCATATACTCCATCCATCCACCCACCCATCCACCCATCCACCCATCCATCCATCCATCCATCCATCCATCCATCCATCCCTCCTCAATTCTATTTAATACCTACTAGGGACTGTATAGTGTATAGTGCTTTTCACAGTTGTGCTAGGGAAGGTGAGGTTAGTGCAACAGCCCTGAGGTAGGGCTGGGGCTCCAAGGAGAGGATTAAAAGAGGAAGCTCCACCTTCCTGACCTTGACATCATGTAAGGATGTTTCAGAGTCCCTCCAGTGTGGTAGGAAGGCCTGGAGGTAGAAGGAGTTCAAGCAAAGGAGTAAATGCCAACCTCCTGTGTAGTCACCCAACCCCCAACCTTTTTATTCTTCAAATTCTCTTAAGGTATCTGAGGAATTCAGAGCTGGAGAGGGGCTGTGGGAATTCCAGGCACGTGCCTTTCCCCAGAAGGGGTGTGTGTGTTTGTGTGTGTGTACACTGACAGACTGCCTTTGGAAGAAGGCAGTTGGAAGTCAGGGGTCCCTGGAAGAGAGCAGCTCAGAGCTGGGGAAGCCAAGAGGGTCCATCGTGAGTCCCAGTGGGGCCTGCCTCCAAAGGCACTAGGGAGCCCTGAGGGTTTTAGACAGAGGAAGGGTGAAGTCACTCAGGTGACCATACTAAAGGGCAGTGTTTAGAGTCGGGAAGGAAGACCTGGGGAACTCCGGTCAAGCTGTCTCTTTAAGGTGTCTGCTCAGTGACAAGCAAAGTGATTTTCCTTCCAAGCTCTCACCACCATCACAACTGTGGAGCAGGCTTTGTTAGGGTCCGGAATACGCTGGAAGAACGATCCCAGACTAAAGCAGCCACAAAGGGCGTTTGTTCTGCAGAAGTCCAGCGTGCTGGAGCTACCACCTTTACAAGCAAGGAGCAGCAACAAGAGGAGCTCAAAGGCCCCTTTTGAAGCCAGAAAGGCCTTTCCTACTGTGGCTATGTAACTTCCACTGGGATTGGCTGGTACCCACGGAGGCTGTGTGATTCCAGTTGGGATTGGCTGGTGCCCATGGAGGCTATGTGACCTGTCCTTGGAGTTCACCCTCTCTTCGGCAGCCAGGCTGCAGGCCTGTTCTTTCCTCCTGCATGTCGGCCTCCCTGGGATCCCTCTAAAACATGGCAGTGCCCCAGCTCCCAGTAAACTGACAACACCTCTGCCCTTGTGCCATGAGGCTCAGGTGACCCCTGGCATCTGCTCTTCATGGCTGGGAGCTGACCTTCCTGGCTCTTGCTCACTACCCAAGCATATCTTTATGGCCTGTCTGGAGCCTGTGAGGATGAAAGCCTGTCCCTCTCCCAAGACAGGCAGCAAGGGGTCCAAGTGCACTCTGCTTTTCCATCTTGGCCTTGGGGACTGCTTTGTACTGGCCCTATCCCCACCCCCACCTTCAGAGGAGACCCTAAAGGCTAAGGCTGCAAGCTTGCTTTCGCTCCTCTGCCCTTTCCTGGTACAGCAGGACCTTCCAGGGCCTTGACTCTTCCCAGCTGTGGTTCTCAGCAGTAGTCTGTGAGCCCCGGTGACCTGTGAGCCCTGCTCATCGTAGATAAAGCAATTAAAACTAGAAAACTTCTTGCTTCCTTAAGTAAAAGGTCTGGTTTTTAAAGTTGTTGTCTCAGCAGAGTGAAAGAGAAAATCTAGATTGGGCCTCAAAGCTGAGGCAGCAGAGTGGGGCAACACAGCTTGCCAACTATGAAAAACACAGTTTGGGTTTTCATGAACAACATTCCATCACGTGTGTGGAAATGGGATCCTCGCTCTAATATCACAAAGGAGACATCGGACAGTGGGCGGTGGGCAGTGGGCGAGGTGGGCACTGGGCCAGGTGGCACAGCACCTGGGATCTGCTTTCTGAGCTGCAGGTGCTAAGGTGGGTGCTTGGGTATCTAGCTGATGGTCCTCGGGGGTAGTGCCATGCTGCTCAGACAGATGGCGCATTCAGGGGACTCGAGACGAGTGCACAAACAGAGCCATGATGCCACATCAACCATGCTCCGGCAGCTCTCATCCTGTCACCCCTTCTCCCAAGGAGAGGAGGACAAGAGGACAGAAGCCAGCTTATAACCAGGAATTGCCTGGCTGCGCACAAATTCCTGACCGCCTGTGTGTTGGGACAGAAGGTGGCACTGGTTGGGGACCAGCGAGCTTGTTAACTCTGTGCTCTGATTGGTGCCATCTTTATCCACAGCTGTGGTAACAGCAGCAGCCACTGGGCTGTGAGTCTCCCAAGCCCTGTGTCCCTCTCCACCCCATCCGTCACCATGATGATTTGATTTTCCTCATTCCGCTCAGATTTCCCAAGGCATCATTCTTCTGTTTAGAGTGAGCAATTACAGTTGCCCAAGTAAGAAAATCTGAACATTGGGGTGTGGTGGGCTCTGGCTGGTACAGCTCAGCCATGCCTGCCTCTCCACCGAGGGCTTCATGGGCATCCCCTGTGTCCGGTCTGCATACAGACAGCATGTGTGGCTGGTCCTCACCTCTCCCCTCAGTGACTCCACCCATTTTCTTCCATTCAGCAAATGTTTGCTGGCCACATGCCGCTCTGCTCCGGGGCTGGGGGTAGGGGCATCCAAGGAGGGCAAGTACATACTGAAGGGAAGCTCGGTGGCAGTGGGGCTGGAAAAGGATGGAGTGCCAGTTCTCCATAGCAACAGGTCTGATGTGGAGCACTCCTTCCAGGAAGGGCTGACTCTAGACTGCGCCTCAGGAAGGAATAGCATTTGCTCCGCTAGAGAAGGAGGGGGCAGTGATAGGGCTAGTCCAGAAAGTTCTGAGTGTGAGGTGGGAAGATGGGGTGACCCCGAGGCAGGGAAACCTCTGTCAGCCCTGAGCCTGACATGTTTCTGGATGGTGGTGGCCGGCCATGCCGCAGAGCATGGGAGTTCTTCCTCACATCCCTTGTCCTTTCGTGCCGTGGACATCTGGGGAGGGCTACAAATGCCTGCTAAGACTAGAGTTTTTATTCATTCATTCTGTGTGCGTGTGTGTGAGGGGGTGGTATATGAGCTTGTGTGTGGGTATACAAAGGCCCAGATGTATAACCTGGGGTTACAGGTGTAAGCGAGGCCATCTTTCATGTGGGTACTTGGGATTTGAACTCAGGTCTTCATGCTTGCACAGCAAGCACTCTTAGTCACTAACTCATCTCCCCAGCCCTCAGAACAATATTTCTAAATGTAAAAAAAGAAAAGAAAAACACCACAAAAAATATAATATGGTCAAAATGTAAAAGAAGACCATGACAGGCATGACACAGAACAAAGCAGGCAGAGCAAGAGGCCTAGTGATAACTGCTCCCTGCCGACAGCCGAACTAGTCACATGTCCAAAGTGGCCCACGCTTCCTAGTGCAGCATCCTTCAGCAGAGTTCAGTTCCGGGACTGAGTTCCGGGACTCAGTTCTGGCTCAGGTGTTCAAGTCCCAGGAGAAATGTGTGTCGTGTTTGCGTTTCACCTTTACACACACATACATGAAGCAATCTCTACATTACTTATAACACTTTGTAAGGCGCAAATGCGACAAGACCAGTTGCCATATTGTTTAGAAGGAAACGACCGAGAAAGGAAAAAAAAAAACTCCTGTACACGTTCTGCAAACTTTCCTTCCAATGCGTTTGATCTGGGGTTGGCTGAAAACTTAAGTGTGGAGTTTGTGGGATACGCAGCGTGGGTTGCAGCAATGTGCGCATTTCACAGCGAGCAGCAGCAACCAGGAATGGCTTCTGAAAGGAATGCCGTGCTTCTGTCAGAGGTGGCTGCGCATGCACCCTGTGGTCCGGGTTCAGCTCTGAGCGAAAGACTCTATGGGCCGGCAAGTGGGATGTCTCAGGAGGCCACCTTGGAAACCCAGGCAGGTGGTTGCAGCAGCCAGGGCTGGGGAGGGCCACAGAGGGGTGGAGCGAGAGGCAGTTTTAGATGGATGGGATGTTGGATTTAAGTATGCAAGGAAAACGAGACAGGTGGGGACCCTGGGTTCTTACCTGGGGAAATGGGGGGGGGGGAGTCAGGGACAAGATACAGGGTGCACAGCCAGAACCGGCCTTTGGCCCACAGTTCTTGCTGACATCTCCCCGGCTGTCTTTCAGGTCAATGAGATCTACCATGACGAGTCGTTGGGGGCCCATATCAACGTTGTGCTGGTGAGGATTATCCTGCTGAGCCACGCGAAGGTGAGTCCTCCTCTCTCTGGCATGAATGGAGCCCCGAAAATGAGGACTAGCCCTCCTTTGAGATTGTTTGCTCTTCCATACCCACCCCCCGCCTTTTCTCTGGACACCCTGTGGTCCTATAACAAGCAGGACGCCATGAGACCCAATCCCCACAGACTCCCTGTACCCTCTTCCATGACCCATGACCCTTTACTGGAAAATGCAGGTTCTGTTATTCAGTGTGGTAAGGCCGACACACCAGTAGGTCCTCCCACTGCAGAAAATTCGGTGGACCCAAGAGGCTGAGGTACAGATGGCATGGGTGCAGCTAGGACACCGGGACTCAAGGAACGCCTGCTGTAGTCTCTGAACACAGGACAGAGGGAGGCAGTGAGCAGGCTCGTGGAGCCCTCACTGTAGAGTCTCAGCAGACTCAGGAACAAAGCTGCCCCAAAGGGGCTGGAGCTAGCCGTGAGGGATTAGGGAAGGTGGGTGGCAGCCCAGAGTGTAGACAGATTGAAATGAGGTTGAGCCGAGTCTAAAACTCTGTCTTTGAGGTGGCTGAGGGATTCAGGTTCTGGATGGTTGGTTTTCTTATGAAAAACCTGCTGTATCTAACATTGTTTCTGATATCCCAGCCTCAGGAATCCATGTACCATCTATCCACGGTAGCTAAAACCTGTGTCTCTTCTCATCAGACCTCAGATCTTTAGCTCCACCAGGTCCCTCTGACCCTATCTTTTCCTTGTTCTTTGTTTCTTATTCCTCTTGCTGAGCCCCTCCCCCTCCCCAGACTTAAGAATGGATTGGTTACTTACTCTTGTTCCTATGACAAAACACCTGACAAAAGCAATTTAAGGAAGGATTTATTTCGGCTCACATAAATGCGCCAGAGAAAGCTATTAGGCACAAAGGAGAGATGGGCAAAAAGCTAACTGAGGGGATGTTTAATTCTGTCCTCAAGCTCTTTAAGATGTGCATGTTTAGAGTCATAGTGATTAGGGGGATGAAGCAAGAGCAGGGGTTATTGTGTTTCCTTGTCAAACAGAAGGATGTGTCTCTTTTCTGTGGAACTGCAGAACACTTTTGAATGACACAAACGTGTAAGTCCTAATGAAAATGTCAGTGAATTTTCCATGATTAAAAACAAAAGCCTGCTGGGTATGGAGGCACGTGCCTTTAATCCCAGCACTCAGAGAGGCAGAGGCAGGCAGAGTGCTGTGAGTTCGAGGCCAGCCTGGTCTACAAAAGGAGTCCAGGACAGCAGAGGCTACACAGAGAAACACTGCCTCAAGAAAAAACAAACAAACAAACAAACAAACAACCCCCAGGCAATGTGCACCAGAGAGTATGACCACAGGTGAGAGGAGAATAGAATACTTACAACTTTAAAACCAACCAAACCACTTTGAAAAGTTTGCTTTTGGGGGGTTTTGTTTATTTGCTTGTTTTTTGTTTTTTGTTTTTGTTTTTTGCTGTTGTTGTTTTGTTTTTGTTTTTTGAGACAGGGTCTCGTGTAGCCCAGGCTAGCCTCAAACTCACAGGTAGCCAAGGATGACCTTGCACTTCTGATCCTCCTGTGTCCATCTCCCAAGTGTTTGGGATACAGGCATGTGCCAACACCCTGTCTTTATGTGGTGCTGGGCACCGAACCCAGGACTTCGTGCATGCTAAGCAAGCATTCTGCCGGCTGAGCTCCAAGCCCTGCCCTTGAAAACGCTTTCGTAAATTGACTGGGAAGAATATCAGAACTGCAACTGCAGATGACTTGTTTTGACGAGGGACTTGTGCCCCCGTGGGTTTGGGTGTTCAGTGGGGGCAGGGGCTGAAGCCAAGCCCTCTCATCCAAGTGACTGCATGACAACTGAAACAGAACCTACAATCACACTTCTCCTGGTAGCCCTCAGTTCCACCAGGAAGCTGTGGGGAGATTCTCCTGGCCCTGCTGGGGGTGCCCCAACAGTCTTGCACTGATTAGCTTTTTGTCAACTTGACACAAGCCAGGATCATCTGCAAAGAGGGAACCTCAACTGAGAAAATGCCTCCATAAGATTGACCTCTGGGCAAGTCTGTAGGGCATTTCTTTTGGTTGGCGATTACGGCAGTTCTTTCTCCGACCCGCCAGCAGTGTGAATGACACAAAGGCTTTTTACTATTATCAAGTTCAGGCATTTTAGCTGGGCAGATTCCCAGCCAGCTTTCTCGCTTAACTGACTAAACATGGCATTGTGTCCCACCGTGTGGCCAGCTCAACTCTCTGCTTCTGTTCACATCTGTCTGGTTACCTCAGCATCCCCCTGACGAATCTCGCGCCTTTGCTTTCTCCTCCCAGAGACACTCTCTCTTCTGAACTTCCACCATGTACTTCCTGCCCAGATGTTGGTTGCCAGATCTTTATTACATCCAATAGGCAATTGAGGAATGACGAATGTCTACAAAATATGAGACTGGTGATGGGCCGTACAAATAACAACACCGAGATCCAGCTGGTAGGTTGGCACTTAGATCTTTACCAGCTTAGCAATCAACAAGCAAATAAACAGAGACACATCTTCATACAGTGTACCCAACATCTCCTTCTTTTAGTCCAATAAATGGCTTTTTCTCTAACATTAATAAACTATAGGCAATAAAAACAATTATGAGAACCATCAGATAGGAATTACATTCACAATGTCCAATCCATTTGTATTTGGCAAACTTGAAGCCTATCTTGGGGAGGTCAAAGTTCTGTACCTAAATCACTTTCTTTCACATCCTCTAACCTTCACAACTTGCATTGATTAACCTTAAAACACCTTCTTAGACCCTAACACACTTTCTTAGATCCCAAACAACTTAAGCTTTTTAAAAATTTATTTATTTTTTATTAATTATAGTTTATTCATCTGTAACCCCCTCCCTCATCCCTTCCCAACCCTACCCTCTCTCCCTTATCTCCTCCCATGCCCCTCCCCAAATCCACTGATAGGGGAGGTCCTCTTCCCCTTCCCTCTGACCCTAGCCTATCAGGTCTCATCAGGACTGGATGCATTGTCTTCCTCTATGGCCTGGTAAGGCTGCTCCCCCATAAGGGGAGGTGATCAAAGAGCCAGCCACTGAGTTCATGTCAGAGACAGTCCCTGTTCCCATTACTAGACCCACTTGGACACTGATATGCCATGGGCTACATTTGTGCAGGGAATCTAGGTTATCTCCATTCATGGTCCTTGGTTAGAGTATCAGTCTCAGAAAAGACCCCTGTGCCCAGATTTTTTGGTTCTGTTGCTCTCCTTGTGGAGCTTCAGCCCCCTCCAGGTCTTTCTATCTTCTCCTTTCATAAGATTCCCTGCACTCTGCCCAAAGTTTGGCTATAAGTCTCAGCATCTGCTTTGATACCTTGCTGGGTAGAGTCTTTCAAAGGCCCTCTGTGGTAGGCTCCTGTCTTTTTCCCTGTTTTCTCCCTCTTCCAATGTCCATCCTGTTTGCCTTTCTGAGTGAGGATTGATCATCTTACCCAGGGTCCTCCTTCTTGCTTAGCTTCTTTAGGTGTACAGATTTTAGCATGTTTGTCCTATATTATATGTCTAATATATATTTATAAGTGAGTATATACCATATGTGTCTTTCCGCTTCTGGGATACCTCACTCAGGATGATCATTTACAACTTAAGCTTTTATGTATTTTTATGTCTTTAATCTTTTTTTTTTAACCTAATAACAAGGAAAACTCTAAAACTATTACTCTCTACTCTTCAACTTCATTAGAGACCTGAAAAAGATAAATTTCACCTGAGTAAACAAAAAGCGTGGAACAAGCAGCTTCTAAAACTAAAAAAATATCAGGGACTTCCAGGCTAACTGGACAGTCATCCAACGTTCCTCTGTGTCTCTGGGACATCCATCTTTGGCTGCCAGGCCCAGAAGATCTAACAGACTTTTCTGTGAAGGAGGAATTTTGAAGGATCGTCCTATTTTATCTCAGCAGTTGACTTCCTACTGTCCTGTTTGTCTACTGTTTGACAGAATGCTGTCAGCAGTCGAGGCAAGGGCAGTTTTTTTTTGCCCTGTGGCTAGCTTTGCTACATTTGAAGCAAGCTCCATGTAGAGGTTTTTTGGTGCCCATTATCTTTTTTGGAGTAGAATGGTGGTGCTGCCAAGAGCTGATATGTCTCTCTGTCATAAAAGACTTTTATTATTAAAACATCTTAAATGCCATATTCCACAGATCTCTGCAGTGTTTGAGGACTACCTACCTATCTAAAGTATATCTTAATGTTGCTTGTTTCTAGCTTTGTTTGCTTTCTGCTTAACTTTGAAAACATATACAGGAGGCTACATAAGCTTATTTCTGTAATTAACTAAATTAGTATCTAACATGACTACAAGTTTGATTTTTATAGGTGACTAACTAACTTGCATTTTTATTATTCTGAACAGCTTATAATAGTAGTTTCTAAGGACTAGAACTTTATTATTACATTTTTAAGTGAGTTGCAAATGCACAATACCTTAAACAAGAGTTGAAACACATATATTATGTTATAGCAAATATAACCTCAAATTTCTATCAATATACAGAAATCTATAGCAATCTAAAATATTTGAGTTTTTTGATGTTTTCTTAGTCTAAAAGGAGATATAACAATCTGCTCTTCAGATTATTGTATTCAAGGAAATACAATAATTCATTCTTTTTGTCCTTTCATCCCTTTTTGTCTTTTCATCCTCTTTCCCCCCCCCCCTTTGCCACCTAACACTAGATAGGAGAAAAAGAAGGATAGAAGGGAGAGAGAGAAAAAAAATCCCTGAATCTAATGTCCTTTACTTTGCTTCCTCCCTGACTGTGACCAATAACATCTTGTAACCCTCTCCGCTAAAAAAATGACAACAAACATCCGTAACCCACCAAATGACTAAAAGAGACCCAGACTGATTCTCAGGAATGAGGGCATGATGTTTCTTAAATTACTTCTTGCTGTCTGGGGGAAAAGGCATCTTTTGAGGATCTTAAGCAAATTGGGATATGGGCCAAGTCCCAG